CGTTACAATTGCTTGCGCGCGTCGTTCTTAAATGGATGGAAATTGAAAATTATTGTTCAGTAGAAAAGTACAAGGTGTCCAAGCTGGGGTATTGCTCATTTATTTGACTTAATGACAAACTAGGTCTCGAGATACAATATCGTTTCGTACTTAATTCTATAAGAAACTTGAACACGATCTATAAGTCAATTATAAATGAGATATAGATGAATTTGTGTCATGGGAATGAGAATTTAGGTCAGTTAAACAATGTCCACTCACATGGATACCTAATACTTGCTTTACCTTATTATGGCCGTTAAAATAATTACTTTAACAAACTTCCCAATGGAGAGGGATAGTAAACATTCAACAATTTTAAGAAATTTAGTTGTTCGAGTGAAGTTAAAGTGTACAAAATCACAAATGGGTTGGTGCTTATGGTCATTATTGGTTGGAAGGTTTAGTTTGTTTCTTCATGGCCGGGTGTACTTTTTGTTACATATTCCTAACTGCGATTTGTTTTCCCCTCGTGCCATATAACGCTTAAACGTATTTGGCGTTGTGGGCATTATATATTAGATGTTGATGAATAAATGCCTGGTCTGCAGCATTGGATAGTACTAAGTTAAGTACAGTCGGCATTCTTCGGATTTATGAGGAGTTACACGCACATTACAATGATCGGATGTACCCCTAATGTGGGCAACATCGACCCTTGGCCAAAATGCATTGTGAAATGTAATATGATAGAGGAAAAAATCAAAGTCGATAGGTTATTGAGCCCTGGTCGGGAATTACACTTCATTTGAACTTTTACTGAAGGCAAAACTCAGTTGTTCTCACTGGTCCTCAGATCACCTGGTTACAAATACGGTCTTAATAACAAATGGGATGTACTTCTGTCGTATGAAATATTTGTTTTCATCATTGTCACCAAGAAGGAGGTCGATTGGTATCTAAATGGTTTACCCGCAAGTTAATAATTACTGAAAAGCGAATCAGATACGAGTATATACATCAAAGGACTTCAAAATTCACCAGATACGTCCTGGTTGCTGAAGTGAGTGAATTCTCACTCGATTGTTGAAGTTGCTGGAGATATTTGCTCGTGACTGACTAGGTTTTTAGTAATCGGATGATCGGAGGATACAATTAACATGTAATATTTAGATACAGATGAGATCAACCGTCCTCTTTTTGGTGAATATGGTGAAAATAAAAAAGTCTTTCTCCTACTGAAATTCATCCATTTTGTTAAAGTCCCCATATAAAGTTTAAACCACTCTGGCTTTTAATCTTACCCAATTTTATCAAAATGTGATATGTGAAACTTTTTTTTTAGATTTCAAAAAGTGGTTTTTGATGGACTTTTTGTTCCAAAAGTTGAGGTCACATATATCTTTTGATTAGCCACAATTCATACCAATTGATGTCCTCGCATGTTTTTTGCCGAAAAAATTA